TTTGATTTTCTCATGTTGAATGAGAATTCAATTCTCATGTTGTAGAGATAAAAAGCATGTGGGACCCATGTGTTAGAAAAAATTATATGTAGGACCCATGTCAGCACGGAAATCGAAGGGTGTGTAGGAAAATTCTAATTCTCATGTTGATTGAGAATTATAAAACCCTTAAAAAATAGGCCATAAACTTACTTTTACAATCTCTACTTTACAATCCTATAATATAGAGTTATAGACTAATCTATATCATATTACTTTTTAATTAAATTAAATTAAATAATTTAATAAAAATAATAATAATTTTTTTGATTCTTGATATATTTTGAAGGTTTGATAGATTTAAATAGGCTATCATGCCTAAGCTAGGTCTTTTAATTGTTTAATATACATCAAGTTGGGTATATAATTTAGTTTATATCAAGCTAATAGATCAGGTCAGATTCAAAATATCTATAATAGATCTAACTTATTTAAACCAATGTCTAACTTGACCCAACTCATTTACACATGTACCTAAATGCATTAGGTTGGTGTGAAAGTTGTCTTCATCATCTCATTGATTAAAGAAAGTGTTCGTTTAAAGCAACGGGAAAATAATCGTATACCATTTAAAAAGATTAATTATATAAGTCCAATATTGTTATTACGTGATGTATATATATATATGAAAAAGATATTTCTACAGTCACTTTAGATAAGGTTATCTACAGCTACCTAAAACTATGTCGTTTTAATTAATGAATGATGTTTCTGTAATTTTAGGTAAATTAATGAAGGGTGTTTCAGTAAAATTGATATGATAAAAAATAAATAAAATTACGGAAACACCTATCATTAATTCACCTAAAATTATAAAAACACCTTTCATTAATCAAAACGACGTAGTTTTGGGGTAGCTATAGATAATATTTATATATATTGCATCAAACAGAATAAAATACTTTCATAAGTTTCACATTTTTTTATATATAAAAAATGCGCATATCTTAATATAATAAACCTTTAGGCTATGATAGACCGAAGAAGGAATCAAAATACATAACATTACATATTAGTTCAAAATTTTAAACGAAGAGGTTATAGTTACTACCTTTTTTCTTACTACTTGTTACTAGAGATGACAAAACAGGTTTCGAGCTGGCAGGCCAACCCGCCCATCCCGCCAAACGGGGTGGGGAGGGCCGAGTTTTTCATTCCACTTTCAAAAGCGGGATGAGACGGGCTGACTCATTTTTTTACGGGGTGAGGCGGGGCCCGCTCACTTTGCCACTTCTACTTGTTACTACCAAATCTTAACCGTTGATTTCCGTCAATCTAACGGTTATAATTTATTATAATTAATTAATAAATATATCCAATAAATTATAACCGTTAGGTTGACGGAAATTAACAGTTAAGATTTCATAGTAACAAATAGTAAGAAAAAAGATAGTAACTATAATTAGGGGTGTAAATAGACTAGGTTAGGCTAGGTTTTGGCTTAAAAAGGATAGTCCTGTGCAAAAAAAATTGGATCTGATTTGGCCTGTGTAGATCCCAACTTACAAATTTGGTGTGACCTATATTTAAAAAAGAAAGGGAAAACTTCAAAAATCCCCTTACAAGTTTCCTCAAAATCAGTTAACCCCCTCTCCAAAATTTTTAATCATTTACCCCCTACTTAAATTTTTTTTTATCACTTACCCCCCTAATTTGATTTTTCATCCAAAATTTTGTTAACAGAGTTAATTTTTTTTTTAAAATACCAAAATTACCCTTAATAGAAAAAAGAAAAACATAATTTCTTCACCAACACAATTTTAAACGAACTCACAGAATGTTTTCTTTAAGGTAGCCTTGTTAGAATTAGTAATGATTAAAATTATTTCCTACAAATTCCATTGCTATAAACACTGTACTCACAATTGTTGGTGTCGTTATTTAGGGTTTTCTTATATTATATATATGATCAACAAATCTGACCTTAGGCAAATTCCCAATCTGAATCTAGGTTTATGTTCGAATTCCAGGAACCCACAAACAATACAACTTCCAAAATCGTATTTCACGTATAATAAAACCAGTATGCCAATTTCTATTGAGTATCATGTTGGTTTCTTTGCAATCAACTCGTTGATATTTTTAGATCACTTAACCCCTCCCCGAAATTTTTAATCATTTTATTTGAACAACGACACCAACAATTGTGAATACGGTGTTTAATAGCAATAGGATTTGTAGGAAATAATTTTAATCATTACTAATTCTAACAAGGCTACCTTAAAGAAAACATTATGTGAGTTCTTCTAAAATTGTGTTGGTGAAGAAATTATGTTTTTCTTTTTTCTATTAAAGGTAATTTTGGTATTTTTTTAAAAATTTAACTCTGTTAACAAAATTTTGGATGAAAAATCAAATTAGGGGGTAAGTGATAAAAAAAATTTAAGTAAGGGGATAAATGATTAAAAATTTCGAGGAGGGGGTTAAGTGATTTTGAGGAAACTTGTAGGGTTTTTTTTTGAAGTTTTCCCAAAAAGAAAACCCTTGGATTAAGCCTATTAGCCTGTTTAAGCCTACTAAACATTCACCAATTAAAAGAAGGGATAGCACCGAGTTTCATTAATTAATAAATATGACCCAATAAATATGACACAATAAAGTCTTACAGTAATATTACTTTATTATTCAAGATTATTAAAATAATAATTTTATTTATTTTATTTAAAATAAATAATATAATATAGGCCGGCCTGCAGGCTTATAGGCCTGACAAGTACAAAAAAGCATGTAGCTAATTTTCTAAATAGGGTTTTTTTAAAAGTCTAGGCCTATTCTATTTTACTATTTGTAATAGGCAAAGTCTGACCTAAGATAGACTAGGCCGTAGGCCCTTGTAGGCCGGCTTAACCCATTAACACCCCTAACTATAACCTTTCCCAATTTTAAAATATAAAATTTGTGAATTATTTTTAATTAATGTGAAATTCAATTACTCATAAGTCGCACATGAATTTTTAACCATCTTCCCCTTAAGTGTGAGGTGGAACATAATAATTGGACATAATTACACAAATCACCATTTTCAAACGAAACCGTCAGCTATGATATCACTTATTAGGTTATTAGGAGAACCTGAATTGTAATAAGAGGACACCACATTTTAACTGAAGATCTTTAAACACTGGTTTATCGTCCACTCACTTACATGATTTTTCATTTAAAACTTAATTTCTCGTTACTGCATTTTTAACACATCATATTTTATTAATTATATATCGTTAAAATACATCTATCAAACTCAATAGGTTCATTTGATATGCTGTATATTTTCAGCTAACATTGGCCTTTGATATAAAGATTTTGATAAGGTTAATTGTATAAAGCCTTTTTCTAACTTATCGAAAAGCCACGTCCTGTTTGAAACTTCCAAAGAAACTTACACAAGTAGTTATCGTATTAGCACCGAGTTTCATTCAGTAAATATTTCAGTAAGACTTTAGAATGAACACCAAGTTCAATACATATGTATTTATCTTGGATAGATTGTTGAAAGTCATTCCAACCGTTCCCCTGAATTATTCAGATCTTACTTCGACATAAAATATATTATTGAACAGATACGTTGATGTTCAATGACTATTATATGCATTTTATATAGAAAGCAAATCCCTTAAAATAATGAATATTTTCCTCAAAAGCTAGGACATGAAGCTGTCATAGTGTCCGATCCAAGAATTCTTTTATGCTTCGCATACTTTTTTGGGGATGCGCATATATCATTGATTATATATATATATATATATATATATATATATATATATATATATATATAGGGTTCGCCTTTTTCTGCAGTTACTGCAGATAAGTTATCTGCAATAAGCTCAATACGACGTCGTTTTGGAATGGAAATCATGGTATTTTTGTAATTTTAATTTATTTCAGGGTTATTATAGTCTTTATAATTATAGTTTTTAATATTTCAATCTCAAAATGACGTCGTTTTGGAAGTAAATGCAGATACCTTATATGTAGTAACTGCAAAAATATTTTTCTGAAATATATATATATATATATTTCCTTTTTCTGCTGTAAATGTAGATAAGTTATCTACATTAAGCCCAAAACGATATCTTTTTGGGGCGAAAATTAAAGTATTTTTGTAATTATAATTTATTTCAGGGTTATAATAGTCTTTCTTATTACATTTTTTTAATTTTTAATCCAAAACGACGTCATTTTGGGAGTGAATGTAGATAACTTATCTACATTCATTGTAGAAACATTAAAGCTATATATATATATATATATATATATATATATAGGGGTTTATATTTCTGCACCTGCTGTATGTGCAGCAATCAAATACTTACCATATATATACTTGAAAACATTAAATGCAGGAAATCATAACCATACAAATGATGAAAGCATTAAATATGGAGAATCATAACCATACACCTATCATTGCTATACACATGTCGTTGCTGTACGTAAAGCGTCTGCAGAAATGATTTTACTATATATATATATATTAATGTTTTTCTTGTCACTGGAGATAAAGTCATCTCTGGTGAAATCTCAAAAAGACATTATTTTAGGATTTATGATTTAAAATAAAAAGCATTTTAGTAAATTTCATAATACAATAGGAAAGTAAAAAATACTCTTTATTTTTAATCTTATATCGCAAAACAAGTCGTTTCGAGATTACAGAGTGAAGAAATATTTCGTTATCCCTCTTCGTAATGAAATTAATATTCCAACCAGGTTCACTCACCAACTCTACATTCACCAGTTAATTAATACGCAATTCCTTTTACAAAACTAGAAGACTAGTAGTCTATTACTATAAAACTAATCATCGAAACTCCATCAACATGCACATGGGCTTGTTCCCCTCGCTCAACTGCACAAAAATTTAATACCTTCCTCATCCAGCTGACACATTAATTATTTTGCAATATACAAATTAACTAAAACACTGAAACAAAATAAATGATATACGAAGAATCTCTTTAGGGAATAAAGTATGCATTAAAATTCAAGGTACTTGGCACACAACAATCATGACAGCATGGAAGGATCAAAAAATAAACAAGCCAGACTAGTATATAGGTTAAGTTTATTGCTTCTTGTCCATTACAAATGCTCCATAGGCTCCTTAAAATTAAAGTTGAATCTATATACGAACAAAACAAAAACATAGACACATCCAAACTAACAACACTCCGTTCCATAGGACTATGCAGAAGAGCTTCATATATCTTTTTATAGGTCCACTTTGGTACGGGACTCTGATATAGAAAATGTATTAGGCCAGCTTCAGCTTCTGCTTTTGCATTTTTCCATGGCTCTTGGCGCTGAAAGTACCAAAAAAGATGCCAAAACATTATAATACCGAGAAAATAGCGCGCAAACGCGCACACACATATATAAATGATTAGTAATTGCGTTTCATAATAATGACTTCCATGAGCCATCTAATGAGCAAAATGAAAAAGTTGATGTAATTAAATAAATGATGCGTACCAAGCCCAATTGCTTCTGATCCTTTCATTATTCGCAGACGCTTGCATGATTCAACAAACATCCTACATAAAATTAAATAGTTAAGGTTAATTTCACGGGTTTATAGAATTGAAATAAGATTAGTGGCCAGTAAAGAATGTTTCTGAATAGCTCCTCAAGAGTACTAAACATTTTTTTTTGCCACCAATTAAAAATAGATGACTATATTTGTAGAATATATGGATAGTCATTGGATAATATATATATATATATATATATATATATATGCAATGAAATAATTGTAAATAAGTTGCGGAAGAGGTTTGTTGGATGAAGAACTTACTCCCATGGGACATCACCCACGAGCATCCAGTCACCATCCTTATCTTCATAGGTTGGCACATACTCAGAGCTGTTCAGAAGATCCATCAACTTGCTCTCATTCATGAAGTCTATCATTCCTTGGGCCCCATAGTTACCTTCAGAAGTTCCAATATTAAACATAAATATATAGCAAGACACTAATTTTATATTCTTCTAATTAATAGTTAATACAAGCAATATTAGCCTACAATCATATAGCTAGAATGTAACAATTTCCAACATGGTTAATCCAACTCGTACCTGCCTCATTAACAATATTCATGCATCAAGGATTTAAAACCTAATAATATATAAAACTTAATTTTTAGTTGGTATTTTTTTTTTTTTTTTTTGGGTGATTGTCTTCCATATTGCTTACATGCTTCAGTCAAAAAGTTGTAATAAAGGAGGTTTTGAGGGCAATAATAATGGAAATATTATATAGGAGGCTTTAAATTGTACTATACTAATTACTAACCCATGGTGAAGGAGCTGAACATTTTGGCTAAGGCATCAGATAAATCTTTGTAGCTTTTGTACATTGTCAAGTCCACCTTGCGAAGGTAAGGTGCTCCATCCATGGAAACTTTGACAAATGCCCCAGATGTAGTGCTGCTTGTTGTCTTCTCAGTACCATCCTCACTGTTAACCTTCTGTGCCATCATGTTCTTCCTGTATGACCTCACTGGTGGCCAACCAACTACTTGAGCCCTGAAACATTAATTCCAAATGTCCATCAATCTTAATTATTCTTCTCTCTCTCTTTCTTTGGGTACAAAATATACATAGAAATTGGACATTTATACCTTATGCAAACTATATACTATTAACTTTGAATAAACTCTACGAAACATTTATCATTAGTAGAAAAAACAGAAGAAGCATATAAACTTAATGCTTGGTCCAACGAAAAAAAAATAATATTTGTGAACAGAAGCATGCAGAAGACTTTAATTATGAAAAAAAAAAAAAAGTGGGGAAAAGGGACTTACTTAGCTGGTGGCTTAGCAGGGTCCTTAAGGAGAGTCTTCTCCTTTGAGACATTCTTCAGATTCTCATTCAGATCTTCCTTTGGTTGAAGATTAAGCTTCAGATCAACAGTCTCAGAGAACCCTCTCTTCCCTGTGACCCTTGGAGTTTCCACCTCAGAGCCACCGCCACCGCCACAGCCGCCGCCGCCTCCACCACCACCAGGCAAACCCAGACAAAGTTCAGTCTCCTTCAGGTTCAGACCATTCTCCTTTCCCAACAAAGTTGCCATTTTTGGCTTGTCAAAGAAATCCAAATTAAAGCTTAGCAGCAGATTTAAAAAAGAAAAGAAAAGAAAAACTCGTTCTTCTTCCCCTCTCTAAAAAGTGTTTCTCCTTATTATGTGTATAGCTTCACCCTTTTTATGTGTCCTCTTGTATATATTATAACGCTGCTTGGTTTGGCTATATAGATTAGAAGAGAGAGAAAGTGATAGACCCTCAATAATATAGCATCGAGGAACTTGTGCTTGTGGCTGCATGCGTATGTCATATCAGGTTTGGGACCAGTTGCATGCTGACACGTGGAGATACGTGGAACGTTGATCTTTGCAAAGGGAGGGTTGGCTTAACCGACTGATCTGGTAATTTTCATATGCAAACGGGATTTGAGGTACCTACCCAAATGGAATGACCTCCTATATGTCTCCCCAATATCTTAATCACTCTTTGTTGTAATTTTCAAATCACATGCATGGCACTTGGTCTTGTTAGTTTTCCATCGCATTATGTATTTCTCTGTCTTCATAAGAAGGCAAGTATCCGTAACTCATGCTAATTTTTATACACACACCTAGCCGGCAATCTTGCTTTTCAACCCCTCAAATAATTGGATCAAATTTTGTAAGTTTGTCTACATGTTCATTAGTTATAATTCAGTTGTGTGTTATAGATGATATTTTATTCTAGACATTCATGGTATTTTTAACTTTTTTTTTTTACATGAAATTAATTTTCGATGTTTGATATATAAAATCTTAGACATCTTCTGAAATTGATTTTGTAAGGAATTACATATGCTCGCAACGCAAGTATACACAAATTACCTTATTCGAGTTGGCCGTAAAGTCCTCACAACTTTTTATATTGCAATAGTATAATTTTTTTTTTAAAAAAAACTTTCCTTACATATTAATTACTAGAACAATTGATAGTGATGATGGCCAAAAAAGCAATAATGGTAGCAGTGATGATACAATAATGAGAGTAGAAAAGTAAAATGATGGTGATTGATAGTAGCATTAGCCAATAGTGATGATAACTTTGACTTTCGTTGGATAAAAAATGTAAAAATCTCAAAGTTATGATAGGACCTAATGCATGTGATCATTTTGAAATAAGTGATTTATCATCTTAATTTAAGGCAATGTATGGACTATGGAATGGGGTAATAGGCGAAAAAGTTTTGAGGGACTAAGGGAGCGTAAATATTCATAAAAAGTTAAATGTTTCCTGCATCGATAAACAAAAGAACAAACTTCACTATGTTTCTATATATTGAACCTCCTCTTGCTGCAAAACCTCTACTAATTAAAACCAATCTGAACTGAAATCGGTAGGTTACGTTGTCACTGTCCAAATTGAAGCTGATGTAAATCTAGTGCTCGAATAGGCCGCGAAAGACCATAATGGAGGAATTTAGGGGTAAATAGTGGTTTTTGAGGTTCAAAAACAGGGATTTTGGAATTAACATCCTTAATTTTTATCAGGTAAGAGACTTTACTACATTAATGTTCGATTCATAAATAAAAAAATCATAAGTTTTAGTATCTAATTTAAACATATTTCATAATTTTTATGAAATGATACACGTACATTTTGCAATTGAAACAATATTTATTAATCAAAAGTATTATTTATCAAATTTATTGTAATTAAAACACTTCAAATAGAAAAACACTTCAAATAGAAAAACTCAACAAATTAATTTGGTTTTTTGATTAAATAATTCTCCCTTCAAATTACTAGTTGTTATTCAAGAGGTCAACCAAGTTTGACATAGGCCTTCTAAGCCGCCTTTTTCATGCGCTGCTTGTAATGCTGCCAATCTAGGGGCAGCAAGAGCAACATCTGTTTCATTTTTTTGTTAATTTATTAACATGTCAAGTCAAAATGTTAGATCTGGAGGAAGCTTGTTAATACTTAACATAGTGTACGTAAGATAAAAAAAAGAAAATCTGCATTTGGATAGCTAAGAGGAGCACGTAGTGTAGGTTGTTTTACAATAATAAGCCAATGTGTAAAAAAATTCTTATTACAAATTTATTTTTAAAGTCAGTAAGTAAGGGTATGTTAATCCTTAAATTTTAGTTAATTAAGATCATGATGAACTTAAATTAAGAGTAAATATACCTTTATTTGCTTGCTTATTTTAGACCAACATCCATGGGCTAAGTAAACAATAACATTAAATGAGCTTAGACACCACAATCAATCTAAAACCTTAAGGCATTAAGTGTATGGATTTTCTCACTCACACTTGGATTTGTCAACAAATTTTTTGCTTAGGAATTTAGGTAATGTCTACCAGATTCCTTTAAATCATCACATTGATGTTAATTCATAGGTACTGCTAGGAAAGGGAGTGGTTCATGAAACCTTTAAAAGCCTATAGAGTAACGGAGAAGAGGATGGCAAATTTGAAATAATACAAAGTCCGGTGATCGATCTGGGATGTGCAGCAAGGTTTGTAGATCATTTCGATATTGCAAGGTGATTAATAATTAATGTTATTTCAACAATATATCAAAGGAAATTAGTTCATGGGCTCAAATTCTTATGAATGCAAAAAATTCTCTTCGGGATAGCTAGTTCTACCATGATGTGGATGTTTCCGACTCGAATAGGATTGCCTCTCGTGAAGGATACCTATGATTTATCCAAAAAAACAAAATGTTATTTCAACAAGACAACAATAATATATTTATGAAATTTTATATCTACAAACTTTTCAACATTGAGTGCATCACTAGCTAATTGAGCAGTTGATTATGTTATTGGGAGATCTAAGTTCCATCCACAAAATCAATTCTATCTTCATGAAGTTAGGTTCAAAAGCATAAAAATGCCTTGTATCTGCTGGGTTAGATGACTTATATCTAACATATGCCAAGGCTTTTAAAGAATAACTTTATAAATCTAATCTCCAACAAGCTTCATGTTTCTTCTGATCACTTCTTTTCTTCTGTTGTAATAAATGGTGTGAACACATCATCCACCTATCAATCTCAGAAGTCCCTGTATCATTTATAAAATTCTTCTAAGACAACAATAGCCACAAAAATGAAATGCATTTTAGTCTAAGAGCTCCATGTTCTTTTCAGTCTACTTCCCTTCCTTTTCCATTTAATTAAACTCGTTGGGTGTTAGAAAAAAGAATAATATGATCATCACCAAAGCACGAATATCGCATATTATATTTGTATTTTTTTTAAGATGTGTACACATTTATAGTTTATGGTAAGATTCTTCCGGGAAGCTTCCATTCAAGCTATTAGCACATGCATTTCAATGAACAATACTAACATATTGTAAAGTAAATTATTGCTTTCACATCTTAAATTAATATTCAGGGAATAAAAGCACATGAAATCATTTTTTTATCTCATGGAAATTTTCTTTTTCTCTCTCTCTTTTTTTTTTTTTTTTTTTTTTTTAAAAAAGAACTTCTAGTTAAAATTGGATACCAAAATTTAAATTACTAGAAGAACTAGCTTGTGGGGGCTTTTGGTAAAGGAAGAATGGTGTCCTAATTATGGTAAGCAAACGATGTGAACAAGAGCAAGAAAATTGGATAGCAAGGTTGTGTTACAGCAAATCCCCAACTCTCCAGCAGGGCACATGATCATGATCCATCACTTATCAATTTCCAATATCATAGCTATTGAACTTTTAGAGCATGGTGATAACTTAGAGACAGGTCACATCCCGAAGAGAAGAAAACATCTCAAACCCTAGCTGTGCCCTTGCCCTGTCAACATCCCTCCTTAACCCCATCTTGGATTGTTTCTTTCTATCCTACCTCAATGATAAGCATCCCTTGGATTCATGTCCTCTTGGCCACATATTATAAGAACTTTGCCCAGATGGACTTGTCCAAATAAAAACATACCCTTTTCGTCTTTTAGACTTGATGGAGTCTTAATCACAAAAGAATACAAGAAGCCAATTTTCAGAGTAGGGAAATTCTATGCATATCCTTATTTAATTAGACAGAGACTCCAATTTTAGATAATCCCACAAACCAATTTTACCAATTTTACAATGCAGTGACATAGGGGTTTTAAGAGTGGTCCAAATACCTATATTTTGGTGCAAGGTCAATAAATCCAGGTCAAACTAAGTGGTCCTCTGGTCATAAACGTAATGCCTGGAGAAGAGTACGTGTGGGAAACGGGGCAGGGGTCACAAGTGGAAGAGGAGGAAAATAAATAAATAAATAGTGATCAGTATTGTTCTGTCTGAAAAGACAGAGATGTCCAGTTTATGGCTGGTATATTTTATGTAGGATCTATGTGTTTTCTTTCAGATATCTATGAATGAGATGTCTTTGATAATAGGCTGATCACTGTGCACAATAATAATCGACATAGTCAAGACGTGGGGTGTGTGCACAGTGACAAGCTAAGAGAGAGGGTCTAGAGAGTGTGTGTACCTTATCGGTTTAACCCCGTATTTATAGATGGGTTACCTGAAAGAGTGTACTTCTGGGCCTCTTAGGAATATTGCGGGCCCAAGTCCAACTACTTAGCTGTCTGGATATGATTGTCATCAGTAAGAGATTCTCTTCCTTTTGTGTTGTCCTTTATTGATCCTTCTATAATACGGGCTTTTGTCAGTTCCATAGAACCATGCTCTTGAGAAGAGAAATAATTATTGCGGAGGATGAAGAAAACAAGAATTGTATTGTTTAATTTTGGAAATTATCTAAAATAATTATTAATTGTCACTTGACTCAGGAATTAAATACGTCTTAGATTTTTCTTATTTTTTCTTTCTGTTTTAAAAAATAAAACAAATTGCAATGTATCTTCACAATACATCCTTACAAGTGTGGCCAATTCAAGTTACCAATAAAATTAATTCTTGTTCGTGGGAATACGAGAGTTAGGTAATCTCCATACAAGAACGATTTTCTTGAACTTGTGTTCTTATTCCAAATGGTCGAATGGTTGAGACTGCTCAAGCACTTCTATCCACTTATCGTACATGTGTTTTTTTTTTTTTTTTTATAGAGAAATGTTTTACTTTACCATATTTTTTTCTTATCACTTCTTACAACCAATTTTGTTATTATTGAATCAAAATTAAATTTATAATTACAAAATAACATCAAGTGAAAGTTATTGATTTGATTTTGATCAAACGATAAAAAATTAGTTATAACATATGATAAAAAAA